ATTTTATGCATTTTTCTTTAAGATGACTGTTTATCAACTGTATAACCCTGAGCTGTATAGTTTCCCTTTAGCTATGCAGTAATGATTGCTTTTGTGATGACTTTCACACTGTTAAGTGGATCATTAGTGCTTGACTTGTGCAATTACATACCATCTTAACAGTGACAAACAAACTTGCAATCAGCTCAGCACTCTCCTACAGCACTATTCATTCTCTAACATTCCTTAGATCATTTACATTGAAATAGAACTTTGTTAATATTTTCAGCTGTTTCAAGTATGTGTTATTTCACAATGTGATAATGTGAAAAAAATGCTGTATTAAAGACAACTTTTATGTATAAAGCATTGAAAATGAAATGAAAAAGTCAAAACATACCCCAAAACATTATTTATTAAGCTTGTTTTGTCCAGTCTGCTTAGTTTAGTTAGAAGTTTACATGATTAAAGACAGAATAAGGCCAGGTGGTGGTGGTGCACACCTTTAATCCCAGCACTTGGGAGGCAGAGGCAGGCGGCTCTCTGTGAGTTCAAGGCTAGGCTGGTCTACAAGGTGAGTGCCAGGCCAGGCTCCAAACCTACACAGAGAAACCTTGTCTCAAAAAACAAAACAGAAATAAATTAAAAAATAAAAAAAGAGAGGACAAGAAATTCAGAGCTGACGATCCATCAATTATATATACTTTCTTTATATTACATGCTGTAAGTAGTATTTATGTGTGTGTCCTCGTGCATGTATGTGTGTGTTCCCAGTGATAACCCACTCCACAATACAGCAATAGAAGGAGGAGGAGGAGGAGGAGGAGGAGGAGGAGGAAGAAAGAAGAAGAAGAAGACGAAGAAGAAGAAGAAGAAGAAGAAGAAGAAGAAGAAGAAGGAAGAAGGGAAGGAAAGAAAGGAAGAAAGGAAAGAAGAAAGAAAGAGAGAGAGAGAGAAAGAAAGAAAGAAAGAAAGAAGAAAGAAAGAAAGAAAGAAAGAAAGAAAGAAAGAAAGAAAGAAAGAAAGAAAGAAACCCAAGTTCTAAAAGTAGAACTTGACTGGTTTTGGATACTGCACACAGGAAACCATCATTGAATAGACAATTTTACCAGCATATATAGGCTTACACAGTCCACATAAGCTATCATCAATGCATCTCTTTCAGGTCCATGCCTCCAGTTACACTTTGAACAAGCGAAACAGAGTTTGGGAGACTGTAAGTCTACCCATATGGGCAGATATTGTCAAAATTACCTAAGTAAAACAGTGTTCTTCTTTTCTAGTAGTTGTTAGCCAGGCTCAGCTGGCCCACCTTACAGAATTATGTTTCTCCTGATAGACTTAATGCAAACCAGACTTAACAAGTAATGATGGTTGATACAGACTGTGGCTTGCTTGAGCTGCCCATGTTCTTTGAAATGGGGTGGGTCTGATAGCTGGTTAGAAGTCAGGGCTGTCTCCTTTTGTTATGGGAATGGAACCCAACTTGATATCAATCCTAGCGAACATTTACAGAAGTGGTTTCCCAGCAACTCTATACTTCAATTATGGTAGAATCTTTTCTAACAAACCTGGTCAGTTCACTACTTAGCTCCAGTCACAGCAGCAGCAGCAGCATTTTTTAACAATGTTTCCCAAGCCACTTGATTTGTAAATCCTTGATAGCCTCAATTTTATTTCTTCAAGTTCCTCCTGAAGCAAGACAACATATATAATATGCTCTATTGATGGCCCCCAAATTACACACAGTTATTACCAGTGTTTCTACAATTTTTCACTGGTTAGTACAAGTGAAATGGGAAGGGAGACCTTAGAGGACTAGACTACATGGGTACCAATTCTGAAGAGCACAGTTCAAATATAAATCCTACAACTGCCGATGACAAAACTTCCATAAGGGAAGAAAATTTGCATCTATATAAAACATTAAAATGTGTAATAAAAATAAGATTATGTATAATAGAGACAGATTGTATATATATATGAAGATACACATATCTTCAATACTTTGCAGGATTATTCATAAAACACTAAATACTTCTTTATAAAAATAACTCATCATGATAGAAGAGATATTTTAAGTATTACTTTAGCTAGTTTTGTCAGAGCACAATAACTTAATACCAACATATACCATTTTTTTTGTTTGGAATCTAGAATGCTGGCATGTTCAAAGCTGAAGCCTTGCTCTCAGCACCTCACTGCACTCCAGCCTGACTTGCCCCCAGAACCTGTATCTGTGTTTCCTTGGATTTCTTTTGATGAAGTTCGCCTGTGCCAAGAAAGCAATGCTTAGATACGGGACAAGTACTCACCAACTGGCTGACAGGAGGCTACATAAATAAATGCCTCCTATTACTGCAGGAGAACTAGCATCTATACCAAATGGCTCCAAAATACCCGGAGGGATGACACTCAAGCTCCAGTGGCTCACAGGATTGACTAACCTTGTAACGGAACATTTTTGGCTCTCCTCCCTTTGTAGACTCAGACTAACAGTTCTATTTTCCTTCACATCCAATGTGAAATATTTTCCATTAAGTCATCCCTGTACTATACGATATGCATGTATTGCTCTTGTCTCTTGTACAGGCTCTCCACTCCACATGGGTTCTTTCCTGGGGGCCTCTAGCTTGACTAGCACCACTCATTCCATTGTTGCCCCTATAATGAACACGCTGCATGTATGTGATGGTTGTGTAGCTTGGTCTATATGGGGAACTCATGGCAATGGAGCAGGGGTATCCCTGGTGCTATTGCTGGCTCTGGGGAACCTATTCCTCATACTGGATTGTCTTACCCAGCCAGCTACAGGGGTAGGTGATTGGTTTTAAGGCAGCTTGATATGCCATGCTTTGCTGACTCCTTTCTGAGTGAATACTGAAGAGTAGTTTGAGGAGGCGGCAGAGGAGAGGTGCAGGGAGAGAGTGGAGTAAAGCAGGAAGGGGAGGCTGAGGTCCAAATGGAAAATAAATAAATACATTTAATTTTAAGAAAGCATCTGTAACTTTTAAAAGTAAGAGTAACATCAATGAACAGAAACTGTGCTGTCTGCAATATGACAAGAAGAAAAGCATCTCAAGGGCAAAACTCCAACCACTGAAAAAGCCAGGGTATAAAATGAAAATCCATTTAAAAGACTTTCCTTCATAAAGAAAGAACAGCAGGGCCACTGTTACTTAATCAGGGCCACCCAGTCAAGCATGTTCCCAATCCCAATCTCTTGCATAAGCGCAGAGAGGATGCAACAACTAGAGTGCAAGGAAGTCTAGATACTTGGTAATATGGAAACAGAAGTTGGAGTTGTTTTTGTATGTTATTTTTGCCTATATGCACAGTAAAGGATTCATAGGACCGGGAGGTTTGCACCAAGATTTCTGAGAAAAGCTGATGAGACCAACCAGTGTGTAGTAAGATCACATTCCAGATAGGGAGTCCTTCACCAGTCAGTGCATGATAGTGGCAGCCTAAGACAGAATGAGAACTTGAATGGCAGGAATGTCAGAAATATGAGACCCCAGCCAAAATGGATGGCTCAAAAGAAACACACATGAAGTGCAAGCAACATGGCCATACTTGAGGCTGCCCAAGCTAGCTGAACTTCACATGATGGCATGAAGGATACATTTAATGTCATTTTGCAGGTTTTCTGTTGCTCATATCCCCCCATTCCTCTCTTTTGTAATGGGAGAATTTACTCTGAGGCATCCTACTTTTACTTTATGTTTTTAACTGGGACATACATCTAAGAGATTTCCTTGAATGTCCATAGAAACTTGGGACTTCTAAATAGTCTAAGAAGTTTTATGACACTAGGGACTCTTGGAATTGAATAAATGCATTTTATATTTAGAGGTAGTCAAGAGACTTTGGATGCCAGGGCTGAGGGTTATGGTTGGGTATCTTCCATAGATTCATATCTTGAGCATTTGTCCCCCAATTAGTGGTGTTCTTCTTAGAGGTTATAGAGTTTTAACATGGTGGGGGTTCACTGGGAGAAATCGGGTCACAAGAACTTTTGAGAGGTCCAAATATCCTTGCTCTAGGACCCACTTTCTCTGCTCCCAGGTCTGCCACAGGGTATACAGCCTCCACTCATGTTCCTCTTCTCATGGATTAAGACACCCTCAAACTATGAGCCAAAGTGAATCTTTCTTCATTGAGATGTTTCTGCTAGATGCTAGATGTTGAAGCAACACAACAGTAACTATAACTGGCTACAAAATAAAATCTTTACTTATGAGATGAACTGAGAATGATCAACTGTGTAAAATACTGCAACTGGTCAAAGGTATGGGGTGGTATGCAAGATAACTGCTAGTAGTCTACTGATTTGAATGACATCATTGTGTAATCCACTAAAAATCTTTCTATTTTTCCAAAAGAACAAAGGAGAAAAAGAGAAAATAAAGCATGTCTCTGAATATTTCTAATACTCAGAAACCTAATATTAAACTGGCAGGGAAGAAAGTGACTATGCTAATGTATTACAGCATTTCCTTCCCTACAAAAGAAAAGAAATTCAACGGGCCAAGTCATGAATTTGGGAACTATTAGTGATATAAATTCCACTACCTATTTAATAATGCATAGATTCTACAATGTTTTCAACTTTACATTTTGTTCTGTAGCAAAGGTTTCTTGACACTCTCATATGATGTTAAAATTCTTAGTGGTATTTAAATTAACCTCTGAAGGTTAAACTTACGACTGATGGGACACTAGACATAGACACTTCTTCATATTGTATTTCATATTGTTGTCACAGTAATTTACAAACTTATAAAAATATTGTTAAGTATGTGTGCATCTGTAGGGGACACAATTTAACTTTTTGGATGTCAATATGAAAGTGGTCACTAAAGTAAGATATATTATGTGTTATGCATATATGGGGCAGCAGTAGTAAATGAAAAGATATTTGTTTTATGAAGAATATCTATTCTTACTACAGGATAATCATAACTTCATTTAAGAGGGATATAATGTTTATAGTATTGATGGATAGAAAATAAACTTACCACTTGTCCATTGTGTGGGTTCTTATGAGCATATGGTGGTCCACGGATATGATTCCACATCTGGCCAGACGTCATAGCAAAGACTATACACTGAAAACCAGGGTACAATATTTCAATACATAAGCCAGGGAATGCCAGAATAATGCAAATAAAAAGTGATGCTCACCATTAAACTTCCATTTAAAAAATCATGTATCCGCTCCCGCAGTTAAAAAAAAAAATCAGCTTACTATAGATAGGATCCTGAGCAAATTACTTATTCTATCTGCCCTGGCAGAGTGACAACCTGAAAGCACTTGCAAACCCTTCAGTGTAAAGAACAGCTGAGACATAGGTAGTGATAAAGAAAATGGTCCTCTCTACATCTTCTAGACTTCATCTGCACACTAGCTAGGGCTATCCACAGCTGATGTTCTTGGGTTCCCATAGCGCTATCTCCACTACCTCTTAGTTGCTTTCAGCAAAGTGCCTCACTACAAATCCAGATCTGTAGAAAAGGAGGAAGCTACGAGAAGATAAACTCAAGAACTCCTAGGGATTATTTTTAGACTTGTTGGCTCTATATGGAAAAAAAAAAAAACTTATTTGGAATCTAATCTTGATGACAACAAAGCATTAATGGAGGGGTGTTGTTGAGCAAGAAGCCACAAATTGGTCATGATAACTTTTGGTTATGTGAGTTGTACTAAAATATTATTTTAAAATCCATATACTCACCATCCATAAAATGTGTGCCTCAGGCCAGAATGTTATTCTTCTGGCTCTGTAATTTGTTCAAATTATACTCCACTTCAGCTGCCTAGCTCTTGTAACTGTCTCAATGAGGGTTAAAATAGCAATAACTAACAATCCAGGTTTGTGAGATTTGGCTGTTTTGTGTTTTGTTTCTTAAGGAGGACATGAAGAAGAAGAGCAGGATGCGGCATATCCTTGGAGGATAAAAACTCAGAGAACTAAGTTGGATTATGTTCAATAACTGCTTGTGAACCAGAGTTTCAACAGAAAATGGTGAACTCATTTAGAGAGGTTAATATGAATCTTCTACTTGCTCTGTTGAAAGTACTCTGAAATTAACTTAGGATTCTTAGAAGCCAGAATTGATGTGGGCAGAGTTGAACAAGACATTTTCTGAAGTCAGATATTTATAAATATTTGTACTTAAACTTAGGATGAAATATTAGAATACTGGGTCTGTAATAGGCAGAGAATATATTTAACCATCTAAAAATATACTTTATGATAGAATTATGTGAGGAAAATAAACTATTTAATTCACATATTAGTTTCAGTGAATTTAGAGAGACTGGTGAGTTAAAATTTTGTGCTAAAAGACAGTCTGAGGCAGAATGTATTTAGAAACCACAGTAAGAGATATATGTAGTAAAAAAAATAAAAACAACACATTTATAGTAAACAGGTGACCTCTGTTGCTATAATAGATAGGCAATGGCACTAGAATTTTGCCAGTTTGAAGCATGGCCTTGACATGTACTAAATCTGCAACTGATTCTGCCCTGATGCATATATCTGCCTTCTTGTACTGACAGGTTGGTTAATTCTATTTTCATTATGGTTGATGGACAGGCATGGCCAAGCTTAGACTTCAGAAAGATACACTACTTGCAGTTTGGAGAACAGTTAGGAGAAATTAGTTTTAGTAAGGGGAGATTACAGTGGTCTATTCCATGGTACTGAAAACAACTGAGAGAAGGTCGACCATATAAGAGGTGGGATCAAAGGGCCTTAGTGGCTGAAGGAAATTACAGAAAACAGACTCAAAACTAAAACTAAGAACCCACATATCTGGTTTCTTCTTTATTTTTGAGGCAGGGTTTTGCAGTCAATGTACAAGCTCTGCTTGGCATGAAAATAACTACAAGGTCCAATCTGGCTTGTGACCCATAGTTTCTGCCTGCTTGGGTCTAGGATTACCATAGTGCTGCATGGCTAGATTACTGGTTTCTGAACTGAGCAACAGGGTAATTTGAAGACCTACTCAGAGATATTAAGAATGAGGCTGAGGCATGCAAAAGTAAATAAGGAGGTAGAAAGACTTAGAATTCATTTTAAAAGACAGTAACAATATACCTTCAAAATACTCATTTCTGAGCTTAAGCAATGGCTTTGTGGCTAATATCAACTGTTGCTCTTGCAGAGTACTTAGGCTCAGGCCCAGCACCCATCTGGAAGCTCACAAACACCTGTAACTGTAGATCAAGGGGATCTCATGCTCTCTTCATGTCGTGCCACCACGGGCAGCACTAAGGCAAACATGATGCATACACAGACACTCATACACATAAAATCAAATATTAAAAAATTAATTTCCAAAAGGTACTACATATATAACAATAAAAAATTAATTTCCAGAAGGTACTACATATATAACAATAGAAGTAAAGGTACCAGGTATCATTGCTGTAGTTTGAGAAGAAATTAAATTACCCAAGAACACTAGGTAGAGTGCGATTAAAACAAGGCTTAATAGGAACCCCAAAAGATGACTCAGAAATATTAGTCATCACAGAAATTGGAACCCTCACATCTGATATAGGTAGGGAGTATTATATAAATAGTAGACAAACACAGTACTTTGGGAAATAAGGTCATAGTAGTTGGCAAACATCACGGTGGGGAGAAGATCAAATATAAAACAACCTGACAAGCCTCAACTTGAGGGTGGAAGGTATTTATGTAGGGCATCTATATCCTCCTCCAAGGCTCAGCAAACATCACAGTAGAGAGGCAGGAAGAATACAAGAGCTAAAGGATGGTAAGGAGTGTTGTGAATAGCTGTCTGCTGGACATGATATGATGTTGTCCGAATGAACTCAAGAGCACAGCTGCATGCACAAGATCTATATGCACTGGGCCAATCAACATCCTATCATGGCATTTTAGAAAGGAAACTATTATTATACTCCAGACAGCTGCAGTGCTACAAAATTACTTATAAAGGGAAGATTTTACAATATTAATATTGATAGAACAGAGGATAGTTGGATACTCTTATTGAATTAGTGTAAAAGGAATACAATCTACCACATGAACAAGAGGATAGAAGCAGAAATTGCTCAGTGTGGACAGTAGTCCAAGACACAGAAGGTTGGTTCATCTACCAATATGGTGCTGCAATGTAGTCAAGTAATCTACACCAAATAGGAACAAATCTTCAAAAATACATGATCTCTGTCAACCATGCATTTAGGTGCCAGATCAAAACCATTTTATGGCATGTGAACTTCTCCCAATAAGACAAATAGAGAAATTTTCCTAAGATTTTCACATTATAGAATTTAGCCAATATGTGAAAATGTTGTTTCCATTCAGAATAACTTCTAAATTATGACAATACTGAGACCATGATTAAGCCTTGTGACAAAATTAATATAGCATTAGAAACAAACACAAACATGTTTTGCTAGTAACTCAGGAAAAAATGGCTAAATTTTCTTAATTAAGCAACAACACCATCTATGGTAGGTCATTTAAATTTTGCAAATTTCCTTTAATTATTTATTCAGGAATCTAGAAACTGTATAATAAATGTAAGGGAGCCAGCTGAGGCAGAGAATACTTACAGACATACTTACAGAACCCAGGAATTCACAAAGTTATGGCAATTTTCACAAGACACAAGAAAATTCTGAATCAATAGTCTTCTAAAATGCAAGGCATGCCAAGTTTATGCCAACCAGCCTTTAAAGTATGATACTTGGTCTTCTTAACTGCTAAAATATTACTATTTCAGTGTATTTGATTATTTAGATTTTTGTCATTAAAATAAGCGGGTCATTTATTTAATAATATATTCAGAAAATGCATGATTCATGAGGACATAGTCTCTATGAGCCATCACAAAGTGAACACCCTCTTGTAAATTACACAAATGAAAACTATAGACCACTACTATCTTAAGAAAGAACCCTTCATGTCAGTCTGACAACTGCCAAGATAGTTGGGGGGGGGGCATTTTCTTCAAAGTGTTGGAGTATACATCAGTGTATGCTCTCCTTTATAGATCCAATGAAGCTTGACTCTAGGTGGAGAGCTAAATGCTCATATGCCAAAGCAGCTGCAATGTTAAATAAACATCAACACTTTTTATCCCTGCATATCCTGGTTGAGGCCTGCTATGGTCAAATAGCAATTTAATTTTACAAGGCATTAGAGATCATGGAAATTGAATATATTTTCTCATGTTGACTGAAATTTTGACATTGGGTGACATTGTGAGTCTTTTGTCTTCTTTTAATAGAGGGATACCTCGCTCAGCCTAGACACAGGGGGAAGGGCCTTGTCCTGCCTCAACAGTGATGTGAGAGACTTCGTTGGCTCCTCTTGGGAGGCCTCACCCACTCTGAGGAAATGGATGGGGGTGGGGTGGGGGAAGGTGGGAGGAAGGGTGTGTGGGGAGGAACAGAGATTGGTATGTAAAAAAGATTGTTTTTCAAAAAATTTAAAATATATTTGGTCACATGCCCTTCTATTAGTGGCTTGTTGAAGTTCTTCATACTGTGGATCCAGGTATTTTTTTAAATATACAGAGAGCAAGTACCACTTAGCAAATGGATGGTTTTCCCTTCATTTTCTTAAGTGTCACTTAGCAAACAGCTATTAACTTTAATATAGCTCATTTATTTCTTTTATGACAATTTCTTCATTCTCTGCTCTATGATATTCTTGTCTAGTAATACAAACCTACATCTTCTGATGAAAGTATGCTCCCAACTAGATTCATAATTCAGTTTGTTCTCTTATATGTCTGGATTCAATTAAACATTTACATGAATGATGGGGGATTGTCCTTCTGTATGCTGTGAATGTTTCTCTTATTGGCTGATGAATAAATGCTGATTGGCCAGTAGCCAGGCAGAAAGTATAGGCAGGGCTACCAGACTAGGAAAATTCTGGGAAGAGGTACAGAGAGTAAGTCTCCAGAGAGACATCATGTAGCCACCAATGGAGTAACATGCCTGAGCATTAAGGAAGGATAAGCCACAGCCTCATGGCAATCCACAGATTAATAGAAATGGGTTAATAATTAAGAAAGAGCTAGTCAGTAAAAAAAAGAAGTCGTATCCATCAGC